CCCCAAAACCCCAAAACCCCAAAACCCCAAAACCCCAATTTTGAATTCTATAGTTGAAATATTAGGTACTGATATTGCTCCTGATTACATCTGGACTCTGAAGTAATCTGGTGTCTTAATATCTGCTCTCTTGATTATCTCGATTTCTCTAGGACCGTAGTGGTTGTAGTCAAGCATTCCCCATTCGTTTTCGCCTATGATGTTAGAAGTTTAATAAAGGATTAGAGATAATTTTAAATTTAAATACCTGGTTCTTCTAATGTCAGAATATTAGCTGGAGTACGTTGAATTTGGTTAGTAGAGATGTTCCTCTGACCAGGGTTTACATCAACAAATCTATTTTGAAATAAACCCTCCGATGTCTCCAACCTAGTAGCCTCTCTAGTGACATCCCTAACAATCTTAGTCGACTCTCCAAAGGGCTTATACATCTCATTCTGCCTTAAATGTTTAGTTTTCTCATACAGCTTAGCTCCAACCCGCTCATCATCTCCAAAATACTCAAAATTCCCTTTAACCGGTGGCTCATACTTAACCCCTCCGGCTGCATTCCCCCAGTCAGCTTCTTCCCCTTTACTGCTAGAGTTCCTGAACTCATGTGTGGAGACCCCTAGTGCTTTCCTGCTGAGTTCTTCTCCAAAATTGGGTTTGTCCCATTCTGGCTTAGAAAATACTCTGGTTCTTGGGAGGGGTCGAGAACGCTTCGATTTTGTCTAGGATGTTCTGGTTGGGATGGACTCTGAAGGGTGAGAATGGGGTTACCTCCGTTCTTTGTTGTAGTCGTTGATGGAGTTTACTTCGTCGTATGGAGTGAGCTTTTTGACAGCCTGTTCGGCGTTGAGGGGTACTGGAGTTTCTATAGGGAAGGAAAGGTGTGAAGAGGGTTTAGAAGAAGGTTGATGGAAAACGCATTGGATCTCAAGTGAGAAATTATTTCTCAGAAATTCAAGGAACTATTTCTTAATATACACTAAAGTCATATTTTGTTGCAAAAATATTTACTTCTCTATCCCCTTCTACACTGATTTGAGTCCACTCCTACTACAAAGTCTCTATCTATCTTCTCTATGCTCCTATTGATTTTACTGGACAACTTTTTACCTCTAAATTCCCATATCTCTAATAGAACATTTTTGCAATTTAGTTGAGGAAGTGATATTATGGGCATCCCAGTAGAGATTTCAAGTTTTTGAAAATTTAAAATTTTTGTAGAAGTTTGATAAAGTTTTGGACTGAGTAGGAAAATGATAAGAGATAAAAATACGAATGAAAGTTTGGTTAAAGGCATTTCAGGATGGTTTTAAAGAATTTGAACAGGGGAAAGGATAAGAAAGATACCATTGTGGTTTTTGTTCTCTTCATCTTGATTGTTGTTATCTATTTCTGCTATTGGAGCTTCATTCTTCTTCGATTTCTTTAATCAGCATCCCATTTCTCGAAATTTCAATTATTATATAACCCAAAGGGGTTTTGGGGTTTTGGGGTTTTGGGGTTTTGGGG